TGACCATGTCAGCTCTCTTCAGCTCTACTACAGACAAGGGAATCAGAATCTTTGCTGCCAGGACCCAGGCAACTATATTTTAGCACATGTTCCTCCGTCGTGATTCCAATAGTAACTGAGGTGGGTGTGTGAGACATTGGTCTACATATGAGAAGAGCAAGCTCTGCCAGTAGCCCCAAGGAGCCTGGGTTTGACTCTTACTTCCCCCACAAGTCATGCAGTGAACAGCAGAACATAAAGAAGGGAACCAGCAGTTAGCGTAATGGCTATGTCGCTGGACTCCCACGTAGTCGACCGCGGTTCGCGTCCCAGACCCGGTGGCTTAAAACTCAAACCGCGCATGTGTGCGTGCATGCCCAAGATCCCGGGGGGATTGGAGGAGAAGGGATTGTGGTGTGACCATCCCCTTGGTGGGTGATTTCTCGCTTTCTGTCTCTCTCTGTCTGGTGAGCACATGTGCCCTGTAGCAAAAACCTCTACAAAAAAAAAAAAAAAAAAAAAAAAAAAAAGAAGGGCCAGTAAAAAGATGGAAATTCCACATCAGCACAGACCCAGGTCCAGAAAAGACCCAAAAATACTGGGATGTCTTGAATTTGCAAGATCACTGAGGTGAGGTTGGAATATGTGCCAAATGTTGCTGATTCAGTCACTAAGTGTGAATGTCTCAAATACAGCAAAGATAGTAGACAAGGAAAAGTACCTGAGCAGGTGCCTGCTTATTTGAAACATGTTTATACTGATTAGTGTTTGCCAAATTTGCCTGAATCTGAGAATCACTTGGATGCCTGCTAAAAACACTGCTCAGGTTCTGCAAAGGACGTTTGAGTAGCTACCAGAATCCAAGTGGGACTTCTTAGATGTGCAAAAGATGTCTGGATTCTCTCAAGGTGTAGTTCTCCATTCAAAGTTCAATTCAGTGTTTAAACACAAAGAACCATTTAGCTGGAGAAAATAACCAAACAATGTGTCTTTTTCTCATCACTCAATACCAAAGGCAGGGGCTAAGGATCAGGGAAAAGCTGGCTCTTTCTGAAATTGATTCGGTCAAGCGATTCTGCTCCAAAGGTGCTCCAGGGATTGATAACACCAACGTTGTGGAACTTGTAACAAGTGGCAGATTCTCAGGCCCCACTGCAGACCTACTGGATGAGCATAACTAGGGGTGGAACCCAGGCATCTGTTTTAATAAGACCCAGGGGATTCTGACCTACATGAGAGTTTTAGATGCTCTACAGTAGATCTAAAAATGATGGTAAATACAACTTCCCAGGCCTTTCTATGGGTAATTCTCAGTAGCTGGAATGAAAACTTGGAAGTTCAATTTGTACAATTACCTCCAGGTGACTCCTGCCATTGGGTTCAGTGTAGGGGATTCTACACTGATTTATCTCCACAATCCTGATGGAGGCAGATGTTTTGATAAGAGTAAAAATCACTGGTAACATCCTTTAAAAATGGATTATCTGGGCTTTTCCTGAACTCTAGTAAATCATACTCACATTCCTTTTGGAGAAAATGGTATTGAGATTCTGTTTTCCATTCTTTTGCTTTCCAAGCTGATAACCTGCTCCATTCCTGTCAAGGTTACAGCTGTCTCCTGCCCCAAGAGGAAGGCAGCCATGGGGGACAGCCAATGATGTTTGAAGCCTGCCTTTCAGTGGCTAGCATAAAAGAGAGACTTAAAACACAGCTTTGCTCTTTTCCTTTACAGCTCCTTTAACGTAGGGACCACACCAGGTCCCCTGTAGCTGGGCCTAGAGGTTATTAGGACAGCCTGGCAGCCCTACAAATCTGCACCAACCCTTACTTAGTTCTTCAAGGTGGTTGCTTCCTTCTTCAGTATAGAGTCTTTTCTACATCACAACACCATTCCCACAGGATGAAGGTAGTCTGCATGTAAAGTCCTAAGTTGTAGTTCTTTTTTTCTTTCTTTCTTTTTTGGCAGAGGGTACATGCACTCACCAGAGAAGAAGAGGGAGAAAGCACTCCTCAATGAGGTGTGCTCAGGTCACAATTGTTCCTCTACATTTCTCCATCCTGTCGAGATTTGAGGCATACACATACACACACATGCACCCCCTATGTATTTTTCAAGCAGTCAGGGCAAGGATTTGAATTGTGGTCAGCCATATGGATCCAGCTCCCTTACTCACTAGGCTCCAGGGTCAGCCCAAACTGTAGTTCTTAATCTGGTTACTGAAAGTGCCCAAATTTTCCATCCAAAATAGCTATCTTGAAAATACATCCTTGAGGTAATCCTGATTTCCTAAGCACTGTGAACAGAAAAGGACATGGCATATTCAGGACACGTGTTATATACTATATGCAGCCCCAGGAAACATTTTATCATTATTTAAAGACCTATTGGACAAGTAAAAAGAAGCTATTGCCTCACTGAACCTGCTTACCACTTTAGTTCAATTCTTGTTTTGCTTCCCTTTCCACATGACTCAGTTCCGTGATGACAATTAGAACAAATGTTTGGGATATATACAACTTCAAGTAGCAGTCCAGAGAGGTGTCTGTTCTCTCCTATATTTAAAGTTTTGTCAAAGATATTTACTATACTTCAACAAAAATAAGAATTCAAGCAGTTGTGAATCTGGTGAGTGTACTAGTAATGGTCTACCAAAAGATTTCCTTAAATAAGGATTAAGTTCTTCCTGGAACCTGAGGTTATAGCACTTGTTTCATTTTACACTGACTCATAATGAGATTACTCTATTTGGTGTAAGGCCTTCTTGCTAGTTTTCCTTTGAGCTCGGAAACTAATATTAAACAATTACAGTTGGTGTGAATGGAACATTAACGATAAGAGAATGTTTAATTGATTTAGATATGATTTATGCCTTTTTCTGGACTCACTATTCTGTACAGATCTAGTTCCCTATCATTGCAGCAATACCTCATTACATAATTACTACAGTTTTATGTTTTATCTCTAGAAAGAGTAAGTCCTCCAACTATGTTCTTCTTCAAGAAAAAGAAATATCCCATTGCTTTTTCACATACATTTTGTATAGATTTGTCACTTTTCAAACAGCAACTTCCTGAGATTTTGGTTGAAACTGCACTGAATCTATTAGTAAATCTGTGACAAAAATGAAACCCTTACAAGACTAAGTTTTCTAATCCGTAAGTGTACTTGGTATGAAGAGAAATACCTCTTTACTTACTAAGGCCTTTATTATTTTTCTTAAACCTATTTCACAATTGTCTATAAAAAAATCTTATACAAACTTGCTATATTTCTGTGTATAGATTTATTGTTCTAATGCCTTTGAAAATTATATTTTTCTTTTTTTTGGAGAGGTTTTCGCTATAGGGTGTGTGCGCTCACCAGATAGACAGAGAGAGACATAGAGACAGAAAGCGAGAAATCACCCCCCAGAGGGGATGGTCACGCTGCAATCCCTTCGCCTCCATTCTCCTCTCGGGATCTTGGGCACGCATGCACAGGTGCCCGGCGTGAGTTTTAAGCCACCGGGTCTGGGATGCGAACCGCAGTCGACTACATGGGAGTCCAGCGACATAGCCATTATGCTAACTGCTGGTTCCCAAAATTACATTTTTTAAATGCTTGCTTTTCTATATTTTTAGAATTAATTTTATTATTATTATTTAATTTGCCATAGGGCATGTGTGCTCACCAGAGAGAGACAAAGACAGAGGGGGGGAGAGAAAGAGAGAGCAAGAGAGAGAGAGAGAGAGAGAGCTGCCTGGTTCAGGACTCCAACGGCGGTTGGCCATGTGGGAGTCCAGAACCCTAACCACCACACCACCACCTGCTGGCCCCAAAAAATGTTCATATTTTCTAACTGATTGCCACTGGTATAGAGAAATGAAATAAATTTTTGTGTATTTATCTTTAGTAATCTTATTAAATACATTTATTGATTGTCATAGGTTATCTTTGGATTTTTCTGGGTTTTCCACATTCACAATGTCATTGGTAGTTTCTTTTTACAACTAGTTTAAATAAATGATCTGTAATAGTCTAGAGCTTGAAGCTTGCAAAAAATATTTCATGTTATACTACTTCAAACATACGATTTAATATATTAGATTGAAACTAGTCTTTTTAGATTAAAAAATCTGGACTAAGGCCTTAGAGTATATGAGTACAAAGGTCACCTAATATATAAACAACATACTTATTCTCAAGAGCTTGGAAAACATATATTCTGTGTGCACTGCTCCCTATTCCCATCCACCCATCCTTGCCCCATATATAGAATGCTAGCTTTTGATCAACCCATATTTCCATGTTTATTTCTCTCTTTTATCATGAAAGAAAATGCAAGACCAGTTGAAATGATATATTTTATTTGCCCCTCTTAATATTATAGTCTTTTGATGATATCACTATTGATGGTAACTCGTTCCACTTCCAGAAGATTTCCTCTATTTGCTTATCTTCTCACCCAAAATTTCCTCCTTTCTGGTGTTACCACGTTCCCAGGGTCCAGGCTAGTTCTTTCCTTGCTGTTGGAACTTTTCCTACTTACAGAGACGTAGGTGGTGGGTATGAGGTTGGAACCAGGTCCAGTTGCATCAGAAGTCGATGGAGACTGAAATATGCCCTAATCCAGCCCTTTGTTAAACCCAAAGAACTGACACAAAATGAAGGAGCCAAGCCTTTAGTTCTGTCTTCAGCAATATTTATTGGAAACAGCGATGCTTCCCATGGTGAGAGTTTATACATTAAGCAGTAAGATTTGCCTTTCACTCCACATAATCCACTACCGCAGGTGGCACGTCGGAAGCAGCACATTAAACCTCTGATAGAGTCTGTACAGCTAGATAAATAGAACTCTGGGTACCTAACAGGACTTTCATGACTGATACAAAAAAAGGGGGGAAAAACAAAACAAAACAAAACACTGGTAAGTTTACGCACAGCACTATACACACAAAATGAAGATGGGGTAGAAGGGATGAAAGCAAAAGTACCAACTGAATTGGAAAGAGTTTTGCATATGCAGCCACACATCTTAAACTGCTAAGCACAAAAATCATCTTTATTTGGTCCTCATTGAGGGCAGAATATGCACAAATGATGCTCAAAGAACACAAGGTAAAGGTGGAAAGGAAAGACATTTACTGTTTCTGGGTTTATGAATTAGTGGGAAAATGATTACTGGTGTTTTTCTCCCTGTGTCTGTGCCAAATGGACTCATGAAACATATAATTCATTAATAAAACTAAAGTGAAGGAATTTGTTCCTCCTTGCTTGTCATCTTCAGACATGGCCTAAATACATACACGGTTTCTGTGTAGCAAGAAATTTAAGCTTGGAAACCAAATCTTGTCCCAACTTTTCATAATGGAGAATTTCTTCTTCTCAGCCCCTCCCACCATATACTGACTGCTGTCTTACTTAGAAAAAAATGGGAGTCTCCACTCCAGCTTTAAGAGCAAAGAGGAAAGAAAACTACCTGTACCTTGAAATAGATATATATGAGGGGTGGGGGAAGGAGGAGGATGGTTTTCAGAGAATGTTTGAACTCACAAGTAACACTTTCCTATCGATAGCATCAAGAGACTAACTCATTCAAACCAGAAGACAATTTGCTGGTGAGGGAGACTTTCTGACAGTTCAGTGACTCATATAATCGGGAAAGGACAATGTGAAAGCAAGAACTTTCTCCTCTTTGCATGGAGAACAGAGACTTGGAGATGGCCCCAGGTGATAGACAATATCTTCGGTAGGATGGTTTTTCTGTTACGTGGCTCATGGTCATATTCTAAGAAACCACTGCCTCCTGAGAACTGTTTAAACAGCAGTTCTGTGACTACCGCCTGGTCTCCGATGGTGTTTAAAAAGCACATGCCATGCCCACCAGACTAAGAAGATACCAACCATCACCATGACTGGTGTGGGAGCGCATAAGTCAACCAAAGGTACTTGGTGGGGCTTGATGACTTGACCACTGCAGCCTGCACTTGGGATGTGTTTGTAAGCAGCATTACCAAAGCAGTGGTTAAACTTAACTATCTGGGCCAAGAGGAGGCTGAGCCAGCCAGCATAACACCCTAATGGGGCAGGGCAACCAGAATCTCTACATAATTGATGGGGAAGAAGCCTGACTGGCCATGAAGCATTCCCTCATACCAGTTCTCATCAATTTGGTTAGTGAGTGTGATGATATCACCCTCTTTAAAACCCAACTCCCCTTCATTTTCAGGTTCAAAGTCGTACAGAGCTCGGCAGCAGGGCTGATCCATGGGGGCACCTGAGAGGAAGAAAAGGAAAGAAGAACACAAAAGGACAAGGGGCGTTTAACTCGCAGCGTCCACTGCCCGCTGCACCCACTTGGCTGGCCGCCCCCCCTTCTTTTCTCTTCCTGCTGGAGCTTCCTCTTGCTACTTCCACTTCTTTAACCAAGCAAATGATAAGGCTGAAAGTGCCTCAAGCATGGATATCCTCTGCATGGGCATCTTGCCCTCCTCCAGCCTCCAAGGCTTTCTCAGATCTCTGAAGTTGTCAGCTAGTCCTGTTTATTTATTTATTTTTGTTTGTTTCCCAGTATGAAAAACGGTCACATCTATTCCTGTGATATGTACAACAGAGTTCATTAAGATCTGCTTTCCTGATAAATACCCAGAGTGGGCATTTATAATAAGATCTACGTTAATAACAGAGCATGGCCAGAATTCTTTCTTGTTAGCATATTACAATCTCTGCACATTCGAAATAGTACAATTATTACATGGACAGTGTTTTGCAATCTCAAAATAATAGCTCAGTTCTCACTCTTAAAAGAGTAACTCAAACCTCTGGGAAACTGTTGAAATGTAATGAAAACAAAACAATATAAAACACTGAGCTCAAGTTCTTATTTTTCATGACTTGCACAAGGCATTCAGCAGTCACTTTGTTTCTTTGTTCAAGATTTGAACAACAGAATATCCTGTACATTACTATTGTAGCTATTAAATAAGATTATGTAAAAAAGTCATATAATTTATAATAGTGAGTTGCTTCATTTATTAACATGAGCAGTGCATTGGAGCTATGGCATGTCAAAATAATGGACTCTATTGATTAAAATAATAAAGAATGGAATCATATCTTAAGAAGCATATGTTTTACATGACCAAAAATATTAAAATATTGTGTATGCACACATGCACACACACAAACTCAGACAAGTATATATAATTCCCATATCATCTCAGTGACTTGGAAGAGAAATAATGTGATTTATTTTTTTATTTAGAGAAAAAAAAACAAATTAATGAGTCTCCAAGTGAAAGTGACATAGATGGCTGGTTTCTAGGCAGGGAGAAGCAGTTATTTGGAATTCATATGACTAGTCCCATCAGCCAGCTAACTTCAGAGAGCTGTAGTGGTTTCCACCACCCGCTAGGGACTCTGAGCAGTGGAAGTGAGCACAAAGGACACACAGCGCCACCTGTCGCTCAGACCACACTTTTTTTTCTTCATTGTCTCCTAAGAGCATCTTATAAAAAGTTTTCTACTGTAGCACAAACACTGTGGATACCGGGAAGACAAGAGAAAATCTGCATCTAGTAAAGATAGTTCCCACTTCTTTAACTACGCAAGTGATAAGGCTGAAAGTGCCTCAAGCATAGCTTTTGTCTAATGTGCACTAGGGGTAAAGAACAATCATGACCACAGAGACATGTGTTACAAGGTCCACATCATTATTCCTGAGACAAATAAGACTTTGCTGTTATTACAGAAACCTTGGACCACAGAACAGTGGACTGGCTGGAGATGGGTATGTGGGAAAGAAAGTGAAGCAGGTGTTGAGATTCGAAATATACTCATCTGCAAATACATTCAGCCATATGGTTCCTGTGACTCAGGAAATCCAGCTCAGCACGTTCCCGGACCTGCTGCTGTCTGAATGCTATATGTGGGCACACACTGCTGGGGCGGGAAGGCACCAAAGGGGAAGGGCAGGAAAAAGAGGGCACTCCAGCACCAACTTAGGATGATTTATGACCCCAAAGAAGGGTCAAAATCACAGGAGTTTGTTAGTAGGTTAGTGTGTGCTGATAACTGAGAGAGAGAAATGAGGACATAGAAAGTTTTGTAGAGAAGGAAAAAAATAGAAAAAAAGGACTCCTTTAAGAGTTTTTACCTGATAAACCATCCCATAAGAAGTATATTCTTGTATGCTTCTTGTATATATTCTTTGTATATTTCTTAGGCAGCCAGACTAGATCACTCCTGGAATTTCTGGAAGAGTGTCAATAGACCACCTTGTAGGTCTGTAATGAAATCTGCGATCTAACCTCCTTACCTGTAGGCTTGGGAGTGCCCGTGTGGGAGAGACCGCCATTGGGTTGAGTGCTGTCTCCAGTCGGAAACTCTAGGCTCATTCGTGGTTTAGGCTGATACTCCCTTCTAGGCTGAGATGAAGCTTGTCTTATTCTGCATTGAAAAGAAAGGGGCGGGGAAAGATTATCTAGTTAATTAAGAGGATTTTTTTTAAATAATTATTTTTTTTAAATTTAACTTTATTTACTTAATTTTATCAGAGAGGGACAGAGTGAGAGAGAAAGAGAGAGGGACAGTGTTTAGAAAGCAAGTTACCAGGTCTGGGACTTGAACCACAGTTGGCCATGTGGGAGTCCAGTGCCCTTAACCACCACACCACCTGCCGGCCCCATTAATTAAGAGTTTTTAAAAAGCAACAAAATCAAGAAAATGGGCCTACCCTCGCTGGCACAGGCAATGGCACACACTGATCTGCGGTGGTGCTGGAAGCCACATCCTGGCCAACACAGGTACAAATTCCAAACTGAGCTGAAACTCACTGGGTGTGCACACCCAAGATCCTGACTGAGCAGAGGCTGGAGGAAGGGGAGAGCCAGGTGATGAGATTCTGCCGGGGGTGTCTCCTCTCTCTCCTGTGCACATGTTGTCATACTCTTTCTTATAAAAGAAATAAAATGGGCAATGGAAGGAAGGAGAGCAGGAAGGAAGATAGGTAGGTAGGTTGGTCAAGGAAATGCTCAGTTCACCCACCAATCTACCACAATATAGTGAGGGAAATCTGACGAGGACCTTTGTTTCCTCGTGTGTATATGTCTGTGCTTTTGGTCATGTCTCTACAGTCAAATCCTGTTTTTATTCTGTCAGTCCCTTACTTCCACCCTCACTTATTCAGATCTGTACTGTGCTAGCTGCCAGGAACAAAAGATGAGTAAGATGCTCTCAGCATCTTAGTCTGTAGTGGAGTCAGAACATTAACAAATGATTACCATAAAGGACCCCTAGTGCTGCTTTAAAGCTATCTACAAAGTGCCACAGGAACAACAGGGACTGAAGGGAAGGATAAGGGGAGGGAGGATCAGCCTCACCATGGGAAGCTGGAGAAGGGTCAAAGAAAGAGTTACCAGATATGCAGGAGTGGTTTCGAGAGGAACAGGGGAAAGGGAGTTATTCCACAGAGAACCAAGAGAAGGTTTGAAGAAAGGAATGTTGTGTGCTCTGAGAAAAGTGAGCAGTCTGAGATACAGGGAGGGGGAATGGAAGAAGGACAGACAGGAGGGAAGCGAAAAGATACGGCCAGTAAGTGCATTCTACACTTCTAAATATTCTAAGTATTTTCCCATTTCAGGTAGTCAAAAGCAAAGTATACAACAGATCTGCAAGGGTAGAAAGAGTATGGGATGGAGATTATAAATAGTATTTTGAACATATTCCCAAGGGAAAGAAGAAACGTGGCCCTTTCTTGTTTAACAGGTATCATGACACATATTTCTTTAGCGATATTTTGAAGTATATGGTCATAAAACTTTCTAGAGGCTGCAGTGTTACACACATTTCCACAAGGAGATTCATAATCAAAGCACTAATAAAAGAAGATACTGAGAAGATAACTAGAAAAATGGAAACAGGTGCAGGGTAAGACTCTACCTTGTGTCTTTGTTATGCATTTAGTCATCAATCAGTTCTGATCTGGAATAAAGGCTGCTGACCTGATCCACTGAGGTATGAGTGTCAGATTAAGCAAAATCACCCAGCTTAATCTGACCAACAACATATTAGTACTGCAGGGCCACTGCATACAGCTGTGCCCACATCTCCAGAGAGACCCATTCGCACAGAAAACTACTACAGCCCACTGTGAGGTACTGAAGGAGGAGGAATAGACTTTTGAAAGCAGCTCTCTCTGATGCTGGAGGTCTTTGCTAACTTTAGAAAAACCCAAGGTATGAAAAGATACAGGCTTGCAAATAAGGTATGCCTGGCCCAGCTGCAATGGTATGTGCTGTTAGGCTGTGATCTGTTGGCTGGGACCACAAAGGGGCCCAGGTTCGATCCCAAAACCTAAAGAAAGGGAATATGGGGGACCAGCAGTTAGCGTAATGGCTATGTCGCTGGACTCCCATGTAGTTGACCGTGGTTTGCGTCCCAGACCCGGTGGCTTAAAACTCACGCCAGCCACGTGTGCGTGCGTGCCCAAGATCCCAAGAGGAGAATGGAGGAGAAGGGAATGTGGCATGGCCATCCCCCCTGGGGGGTGATTTCTCACTTTCTGTCTCTCTGTCTCTCTCTGTCTGTCTGGCGAGTGCACACGCCCTACGGCAAAATCCTCTACAAAAAAAGAAAAAAAAAAGAAAGGGAATATGGCTGCATACAGCCACAGTCCCAGCACTTGGCAGGCTGCGGCAGGAGGATCATGAACTTGAGGCTGGCCTATGAGAGAAAGTCAGAGACCCTATCGAAGAAAAAAAAATAAAAGACTGCAGTCCCAACTAAGAGGCTGAGGCAGGAGAATGGCAAAATAGTGAGATACTGTCCAAAAAAAAGAAAAGAAAGAAAGAAAAGAGGGCCAGCAGGTGGCATAGAGGTTAGGGAGACTAGATGTCACATGGCTGATTTGGCAGTGCACATACTGTATAGTAAAAGCTTAAAAAGAAAAACCAAACTCAGTTAACAGGGCTGTCCTAAGATTAATGGTAATATACATTCAGTACCCACACAGATTATTTGCTCAGCAAACCACATGTACTATCGGTAGCATCCCGGTGTCCCATCTCTGTAGGCAATACACAATCCAAGTATCAGCATTACATTAACAGAAGATTAGGTTCCATGGAACAAAGTAAAAGAAAGCACTAGAGAACATAAAATCAAAATGAACAATCCACGAGATGCCTGTGTAGCAACAGCAGGAGTTCTGCAGAAGTTTGTCTCCAGATGTATTCTGTTATTTCCATTCTTCATATATAATTTTATGGAAAAAAATAATGCAAATGTGAAATGCAGGGAACTGTAAAATACCTTTCTTCCAGTCTGACAGTGACTTGCTGCAGTATCTGAACTGCCTGCTTGTGATATTCCAGCTGGGCTTGCACAAGGGCAGAAAGTTGGCTCACCTGTTCAATCTGCAGATCAGTGGGAAAAATCATACTTTAGTTATGAGGTTACTGTCTTTAGCAGCTGTTACTACTCTGTACATACAGCAGAGTGTCCTCAAACATACAGCCCAATGCTTGATGATGAAAACAAGCTAAGACATAGAGTTCTGCAGACTCCAAGCTGATTAAGGCTAAGAAAGCATCCTTATGCTTGGAACCATGCATATCAGTACTATGAGGTGGACAGGCACTTGAATTCCCATGAAGCTCACACATCCCTCATTAAACAGTCCCATGCTTAGCTACAACCTTGTGATTAGGATCTGGCTTCATTTATGGATTTCCTATAGGAAAAAAAATGTGTTGACTAAAGGACCTTTGGCTCCCTATATTTTTTATGCTAAATTAATACTAGTACTCTCAATAAAAATATGAGTACTGATTTCTCACATAAGGCATCATGAATGGCAGCATGACATGACTGAAAATCCCTGGTCCTCTCTGAGCCTCATCTATAATGAAAAGGGGTTGCGGGACCAACAATTAGCGTAATGGTTATGTCTCTGGACTCCCATGTAGTCGACCGCGGTTCATGTCCCGGACCCGGTGGCTTAAAACTAATGCCGGGCACGTGTGCATGCATACCCAAGATCCCCAGAGGAGAATGGAGGAGAAGGGATTGCGGTGTGGCCATCCCCTCTGGGAGGTGATTTCTCACTTTCTGTCTCTCTGTCTCTCTCTGTCTGTCTGGCGAGCACACACACCCTATAGCAAAAAAAAAAAAAAAACCTCTCAAAAAAAAAAAAAAAAAAAAGAAAAAGGGGTTGGATCAAGTGACATCTTCAGTTCATTCCAGCTCTAATATCCTAAGCATCCTTAGTAATTCTTCATTTTGTGCCCCATGCTGTGATGTAGCTGAGGAGTAGCCTCCAAATCAACAGGGGCAATGCTGTCCCATGAGTCTGGGGGTGGGATGGGTTCCTGGGTATAGGGAAGAAAAACTATGATTCAGGTTGTCCATTGTGCCCACCAGCTTCTTCTTGAGTAGTTAGGTGGACATGAGTTATTTAACTTAAACAAACCTGCACTGTCTCGGGATGGTGGCAAAGTCTGGATATGTTAAACATGCCTCTCCTGCCCAGTCAGGAGTTAGACAGTTAAATGTGACACTCAGCTGGTAATGTATACCTGTGGCTATATCCATGAGGTTGTTTATAAAAGGTTTATAGGTTGTTCATTTGGATGAGCAGACTGAGTAAGGAAGATTCTCCCTTACCCAGTATAGAAAGGCACCATCCAGGTGGCTGATGGTGCAATTAGAGTAAAAAGGCACAGGAAAAGCAAATTTCCATGCATTCTCTCTCTCCCCTGTTTTTTCTCTTTCTTCTGGTGCTAGGATGCTCTTCTCCTGACCTTGGACCTCAGGATCTCGTTTTAGACTCCAAGACTTGTACGAGTATACCCTTCCCCCCAATATACCCCTCCTCCACTGCATCTGAATTCTCAGGCCTCCAGTCTCAGACTGAGAGCTACACCTTCAGGTCCTGAGGTCTTCAGGCCTTTGGACTTGGACTGAGCCACGTTACTGGTTTTCCTGGACCCGAAGTTTGGAGATGGCCTATCACAGAAGATCTCAGCCTCTGTAATTGCAATGAGCCCACTGTCCTAATAAATACCCTCTCATGTATCTATATTTTATTGGGTTTGTCTCTCTGAAGAACTATGACTAATGCAAGTGGTAAGCACAAAAGTTTCTGTAAACCTTTTGGCAGAAGGTGATCAGAAACTGATGGGGTGCAGAGGAGGAGATGAACAAGGACCGGAAAGCTGGTTTAACAGGTCTTAGCACAGTCAGAAGGAAGGACTGTAACCATGGCTTTGAAGCTAAAAGAATTCAAAAGAATGTATTGTTTAAAGCCATGAATAATAATTTAGTACTCTGGAAATGTGAAAACAATTTTTAAACTATATCATCTATGACCCAAATGTAGTACACCTATGCGAGGCACTAGCGTAGGTACTACCATTCTCAATAAAAATACCTTTCTCAAATAAAATGACTTTACTTCAAAATTCAGACCATCTTAATCTATGTTGGGCACTTGATTCTACATATATGTTAGATGATACTCTTTTATAATCTGAAGTCAACCTGCCCTATATTTCAACAAAATATTACAAGCTATTAGATTTATACATGAATCAAGAGAAACATTCTTTATCTTCTCACTATTGATAATGCTTTGAGATTCATTAATAAACGTAAATCTGGTTAAATCAAACTATAGGAATGCAGAAAAACCTTTACCATTTTTCAGTCTACTTTATCATGTAAAGTTATTTAAAAGAAATAACCATCTACTGAAGTTCTCATTGCATACTGTAATCAGATATCAACACTTTTGATGGCATACCCTTTAATGCATTAATCTTGGGCTTCAGTGATAAGATTAAATTAAAAATCACTTACATCCATCTCCAAGAGATTGAACATGCTTGACTCAGCAATTTCCTTAGACTCATCGAATTTCTCCAGAGCCTGACGAAGTTCTTCATCTGGAATCTTGCCTTGTCGTTTTTTTTTATAATCGAAGTCCAGGCGTCGACCCTCCAACTTCTTTAGATGATGCTGAAAAAGTGAAGGGCGGGAATACACTTTGGAAGGAGTTCTGAAAAAAGCCTGTTTGCAGCTCACTTCACTGTGTTACCAGAGAAAGAAAAAACATGCATCATAGGCAAAGTTCCAAAGGCTAAATATGGAGAAACAATTTTAAAATATAATTAAGAATAGGAGCAAGCAGGTGGTGTGGTGGTTAAGGTGCTAGACTCCTACAAGGCTGACTGCAGTTCAAGTCTTGGACCCAGTGGCTTGAAAATTATGATGGGTGAATGTGAATGCATGCCCAAAATCCGAGGCAGAAACAGGAGAAAGGATTGTGTTATGGCCATCCCTCCCAGAGAAAGGGGGTGATTTCTCACTCTACTTCTCTCTCTCTCTCTAAGTGCACATGCCATATAGGGGGAAAAAATAAGAACAAGGGAAAAAAAGAAAAAGCTGTGAGAAATATCACTGCCCTTTATCTTCTGCCCTTACTAGGCCAAAATAAGCTGCTCTATGCTTTTTCATCCCATGACAGAAGTAGGAAATGCATGTGCATGGCTATACACACCAAAAGGACATATCACAGGGCCTACAAGTTTCACCTTCAAAAGAAATGGTGACTATTGAGAGGACAAGAGAAAAAGCCCTTTCCTTGAAATAGATTGAGAAAGAATGGAACTATCTAGCTTGTTAGGATTACCTAAGTTGCTCATTAAAAATATAGATTCTAGGACCAGCAGATGGCATAATGGTTACATCACTGGATTCCCATATGGCTGACCAGTTCTAATCCCACATCTGGTGGGTTGAAATGTACACTGGGCATGAGTGCATGCACACCCAAAATCCTGAGAGGATAATGGAAGAGGAGGGATTGAGGCCTGGCCAACCCCCCACGGGGGAGAGGCGATATCTTGCTCTCTCTCTCTCTCTCTCTCTCGCAAACACTCATATAAAAATCTCTTTAAAAAAATGTGTGTGTGTGTGTGTGTGTATACTTTTTTTTTTCATTCCTGATCATATGAATTAGAATATGCAGGGCTCAGGCTTAGGAATCTGTATCTGAACAGATTGTCCCAGTTGGCTAAGACAGTTTTCAGAGAGCCACTGATTTAACTTAAGCCTCCCATTTGACAAGTAAACTCAATCACAAAACCCAACTTGGAGGTGACTTCAGAAAAGCTTTCATCTAACGCTCCACAATAAACTTCAATCCCTCCTTGTACTGTCTCCAATAAATGGCTCCAAGTCTCTTCCCTACATATCTAGTGACCAAGTAGAAAAGTAAGTTTCCAAAACTAAAGAGTATTTTTTTTCTGATAGTTGTAGTCTTCTTCTACTAATAAATGAAAAAAACTTTTTTCTCTTGTTCCTAGATGTGTATGAAGTGGAAGGGAAAGACATGAAAACAGAGCTGGGAGTGGTGACGAAATGAAAAAGAAAAGAGGAAGAACAACTTTCCCTCCTGCCGCAGCCCCTGACCCCAATCTACGCCCTGATCCAAACTAGATATTTGCTCTTTTGGAAAAAATATCCTTTGCAAACATCTAAACTTACACTCAGCTGTTAAGACTGAGCATGGAAATCAGAAATCTATTTTGGATTTAGAGTGAGTCACTTATTGTACAATTGTGTGATCCTGAACAAGTAGCAGAGCTGAAGGAGATTTAAGCTGGAATAAGGAGAAATGGGAGACCTCATTTTCAGTTACAACAGTCCTTTTTAGACTCAAATATTTGTTGAATGAATAAACAAAACAAACACTATTTACCCAATTAGAGACAAAGCCAGCTGAACTTAATTTATTAGAAACAGTTCAACAGTTCTACATGTCTTAGAAAGAGGATAGTTGGATATTCTTCCTCAGTCCTAACAACCATTATGAAACATAAAAACATATGTTCATATGTTCATAACCACTTGCATTTTAGGAAATGAAAACAGCCTAGCAAACCATTCTAATTAATGAAATTATGTATTCTTGCAGAAAAGATATTATCCTCTGGGGAAGGGAGGTTTAAAAAAAGTTATTCAATGTGAAACTGAACATGGAGAAGCCCAATGTGATACTCATGGGTGGCATAGTTATAATAGTAGGCCACCATATTTCTGGTTCTCTCTATTTGTCTTGCTCAGTTGTTTTGCAATCCACATGCCCAGCACTGACAATGGGCACAGTAAACAAACAAACAAAAAATGTTTTCTAAGAAAACAGACATCTGCACTGGTACAGTTTCAACTGCCTGGGTGCATGTACCTGAATTTCCCGTAGGTCTTTGTCATGAAGATTCTGAAGAGGGTCAATAAAGTTCTGCTTTACCTCCATGTCCAAAGAGTCTTTCACCTCTGAAAGTTCCCTCATGGCCTCCCCAACCTCACCAAGTGCTGGGCCTGGAAGGGAAAAATGAAGCTCTTTCACATGAAACGTTAAAGATGAAATGCATTTGCAATTTGCAGATGAAAACCCAGGGACTACTACCTATCTTCTGAAGACAACACAGACGAGAGAATACATCGTGCCCTCAGAGAGCGGTGCCTTTTGCACTCATGACTGTTCTTTCTAGGCAACTGACTTGACACACACCTCTACCTGGGAGTAGTATTCTTTATTATCAAGAATGTGATATTTTGCTTTTCCTTTACAAATCAATTTGAGAAGCTATCTACTCTTTCCTATAAGTAAAAGCTTTCCCTAGTATGGGGCAAGTTTAAAGCCAAAGCATTCAGTAGAAGCAAATACTGGAAGTAGAAAGCAGGGTTAAATTAGGGAGGACCATCATTTGCTGAGACCTTGCATCATGAAGAAATAAAATCAGAAGTGTTTGGTATGGTGGCTAAAAGTCAAAGGAGAGGGGTAATAAAGGAATAAACCATGTCTTCCCTGGGCCCGTGAAACTAGGTGCCATATACAAAAGAGCAAAGAGCTCAGAGATAGCCCAGGTGACAGGGTGTTGAGTCATGCCAACTGCAACTGCTCACTCTGACTTGGTGTTCAGTGACTGCCAGGCGCTCCCAACACAAAGTGCCCAGGCAGCTGGATAAGTAAACTACAGCTGCTATAGAGACTAGGGTTTTATTAGACATAGATAGTTAGATGGATGGATGGATGGATAGATAAAACTCCCAAGATAAATCACCTTAAAAACAATGAAACAATTCTGAAAACAAATTTATGGCCCATGTATACAAGATCTAAAAGTGAGAATCAAAATATAAAATGGCTTGACCGACTTCCTACAGAGTTTCTTACTGGCTCTAGAACCCTGGACACCAGAAGAATGACACAGTGAGAAAGGACTCCTTACCGAAATTGCAATCATCGCCAAGCTCCCTTCCAAACTTGAGCATGGCCTCTGCGAGCAGCGCCTCTGCTTGAGGGTAGCCTGGCCCTTTCTCCTGGCCACGGATCTTTGACATCGTGTTGATCATGCTGAGCTTAGCTCTGGAAGCTAAAGGTAAAAAGGGAATAGGCATTCAAAGGCAGCAATGTGATAGAGTGGAAACAGGGCTGGCTGGAGAATCGGGCTTCAAACTAGCCCATAATGCAGCTCAGCTACTGAAAACTTAACTTTCCATGCTCCAGTGTCCTCACTTACAGCATATGGGGGCTGGTGCATGTCTCTGCATATTTATATCCTATTTCTCTACGCCTTTTCCATCCTGGTGTGCCCATTCCCCGGTCATCTTCACTGTGGTGACCTCAGTGGTGACTTTGTGGACCTGGGTGGTTCCACAGAGAACATTTTAGAAACATCTGGCTTATGTGACAACCTCTATTTTATTCTAGTTTTATATTTTAATTCTAGAAGTCTAAGGGCTAAAGTAAGAAATCAATGGTACATTCTTACAGTGTGGGCCTTATGCCATGTTTTGCTTATGCAGTGTATAAAATAGAACTGTTTTTGAAATTACTTCTCAGTTTAGATTCTGACAGTAAACAGACCCATGAAGAACAAAAATAATATGTTCATCAAAAAGACAATCACATCTCTAGCACATATCTACATCTGAAAATTAGGTTTTGTTCCTCAAAGGCATTGTAATTTCTTTTTTGATTTTATTTTTATGCAAGAAGGTGCTAAGAAAGCATTTCCAGTTTTAACAGGAGAAACAGTTTTAACAAATTGCTAAAGTCTATGATTTAATCAGCGTGAGGATACAAGGGTTCCTCAGGTTCTGTGTGAGAGTTGGCATTATACATTAATCTAGGGCTGTGTTCACAATCCCATGTGCACAGAAATCCCCGACAGAATCACAGATACTGGTATTTTTCGCATTCATTTAACCTTGAACATATATTTCAAATAGGTTTTTATATAAAATGTAGGCCTTAAAGGCATAGACTGGAGATGTGAAGAGTTTTCCAAAGAGGACAGACCCCTCCAACTCTACTTCACAGATATTACCATGAGCAAGACAAGTAAGGTCTCTGTGCTCCGCAGTTTATAATGAACCAAGGGTAGAGTCTACTTTGAAAGCAAATAAGTGCATATAATAAGAGCCATAATGGGAGATTGCAACAGGTCACAAATACATGGCACTGTATTAGGTTGCTGGGGTAAAGCATTGCAAAGAAGCGTTCCTGGAAGGACCTATTTTAAAGCTTAGAACCATAGAGTATGTAGCAGTTAGTCAGGCTAACAGTACATGCAAAGCCTGGTGCCAACTGGAAAAACACAAAGTTTACCTTGTATTTACTTTCTCATACAACAGTGCATCCCATGTTAAATTTCAAAAACTGAAAATGCCTCAATCATTTCTGAAAGAACAATGTCATTAGAGTATATCTGAAGGGCTTTTCCTGCAGTTTGCCATTTCTGAGATCCAGGAAAAACATGGTCTCTGTCTTCAAGGAGCTCATGGTGGAGTGAGGAGTCACATAAACAGAAAGACAGTGGGGTTAAATGTTGTAAAGTAATATGTACAGGGTACTAAGGGAACACAGAGAAGTAGTAACAACACAAATAAACTAAAATGCCTCAAAAAAAGAAAATAAACACCAGACAATAGAAAGTATGGAATGAACAGAAGAAAACAGATAAATGGAAATCAAAGAAACATTAATGAAACCACATGTGCTGGTTAATCCCTTCAAATCCTGTTTTGACCATTTTACATTCTGAAGATATATTTCTTTTATGAAATTTGGCTAGTGATTTGTGCTTCTGTTTTGGTTCTGTTAAGAGCTGTCTCTAGTAAATTTAAATAGTTTAATACATTGTGGTTGACTTCCTCATTCACAATTGTGAATTCATTCAATTATGAATAGCTTTATTCTTTCACTAACTAATTAAACATATATTGGATACATTCTATATTTTCATAATAAGAAAACCTTACCCTATTCATTTACTTATTTCTTCAAATGATCTTAAAAAAAATAATTCACAAATTTAAAGAGACTTTTTAAAAGTATTTTTTTTATTTTTAAGGTTTTTGCTATAGGGTATCTGTAACTGCTGAAGACGTAAAGTGAAAATCACTCCCCAGAGAGGTGGCCATACCACAATCCCTTCTCCTCCATTCTCCTCTTGGGATTTTGGGCACATATGCACATGCACCTGGTATGACTTTCAAGCCACCAGGTCAGAACTCCCACCACAGTAAGTCATGTGGGAGTCTAGGATCTTAACCACTATACAAACTTGTCAAATGTTTATTAAAAATTCGGGGTGTAAAAACTTCTGTATTTTTTTTTGAGAGGTTTTAGCTATAGGGTGCGTGTGCTTGCCAGAAAGACAGAGAGAGACAGAGAGACAGAAAGCAAGAAATCATCCCCCAAGGGGGATGGCCACACCGCAATCTCTTCTCCTCCATTCTCCTCTCGGGATCTTGGGCGCACACACACTCACATGTGCCCAGCGTGAGTTTAAGCCACTGGGTCCACGACTCGAACTGCGATCAACTACATGGGAGTTCAGCGACATAGCCATTATGCTATCTGCTGGTCCCAAAACTTCTGTATTCTTGAAAACTATCATCAGACTTCTAAGTTAACCATTTTTAATATGAATTGCTTTAAAATGATATTCTTGGGACTAGCAGTTGGCATAATGGCTATGTCACTGGACTCCCATGCAGTTGACGTGGTTTGATTCCCAGACCAGGTGGCTTAAACTCACACCAGGAGCATCTGCATGTGTGCCCAAGATCTTGAGAGGAGAAAAGAGGAGAAAGGATTGCAGTGTGGCCATCCCTCCTCGGGGGTGATTTCTTGCTTTCTGTTCCTCTGGCAAGCACACATGCCCTATAGCAAAAACCTCTCCAAAAACAAAAAAGATATTCTAAAATGATACTTTAAGAAACTTAGAGTCATCCAGTCAAATTACTATGCTACAGTTTTCGCCTGTGTTGCTTCACTGTGTTGTATATGCTCTTAGAGGTTTCTCTTACAAAGGGACCTAACTCCTTCAAAGTATTTTTTTTTCCCTAACTTGACTCTTTCTGAGTATACCACCAGCTTTGCCATCATTACTATCCTAGTTCAGGCTGCCCCCACTTGGTTTACTGTCCAAACAGACTCCTGATAGCAATCTCTCCCCTAGCCTATGAGAAGGTGATCCTGGTATGTTGATCTGTGTATCACAGCAAGGATTAGCATTGTTAAGCAAATTTTATGAAAGGAGAGGCACAGTGTTAAGGACTGAGATCCTGCACTAGGCACCAGTAGATCAGATCAAACCAAAAGGAGTCACTCATGCTAAGCTGCAATCAAACTAAAACTTCAAAGGAGCAGGTAAATTCTTAAAAACAAGAGACTCACAGCAACCAATCAGAAAGGGCCAACCCAACCTGAGTCAGTGTAACAATTAAGTTTCCCGTCCCTACAGCTCTTACAAGAAAGTAATCTGATGTTAACCAAGTTTTTTCTATTGTTTTGTTCCTTATTCCTATCTTACAAAAGCCAACTTTTCTGTCTGTCCAGAGGAACCATTCATTCTATTATTACTTTGTAGAATGATAAGCTACCTAGTTCTAGATTTACAAATAAAAGCCTATTAAATCTTTAAACTAAACCTGTACTTCAGTCTTTTGACAATTCAAAGTTCAGAGTAGATGTTTGACATACCTGCTGAAGATGGAAAAATGAGTGGGTAGAGTATCAAGGAAAGACAAACCCTTGGTAGTGGTTCTAATAAAGCAGACTATTCTCCCATGCTTTGGCTCATGTGATTGAGGGCCTTTTTAATATAATAGGAAAAATAACTAAATGAATGTGTTTCTTTTTTTGAAAAATAGGGTTTGATAATTGATTGGGCTTTTTTTTTTTTTTTAAAGAAAACATGTTAGCCTTTTGAGGGTGAGATTCCATATATTACATAAACTCAAAGAATTGCTAGCCTAACTACTTCAAATGTCTCCGAGAGAACAGGCAGACAAGTCTGTGCCCTGGAGGTAGAAGACTGGAAGATTTGTTACTGGAGAATACAATCCATTCTAGAAAAGAAAGTTAAAGACACAGCTAGAGCATCCGATACTAGTAGGCTGTCAGAAGAGTCATGCCTTTTTTTTCTGTTTTTCTAATCAAAATGTGTCATGGTTTCCGATGACCCAGTATTCTACAACCCCAGGCTGATCACCCTAGAATGGAGCCATAAGAGTTAATAAGCCACATTCACCCTTGCACAGTTTTACTATCTTACATCTAGTACAAAGGGACAGTTACTGTCACCACAATTTGAAGAAAGCTTCTAACATGCGTGAGATTGAAACAAAAACAAGAAAGGTAATTATAGAAAACAAAAAATGAGAAGTAGGACAAGTCATTACTCTTCTCGGTGTCTAAGACACTTTAGGTATGAAATAAAGAAACAAAAGAGTCTTAGAAATTAAAATATAATTAAAATTAAAATATGAATTGAAATTTAAAAATTAAAAAATTGGGACCAGCAGTTAGCATAATGGCTGTCGCTGGACTCCCATGTAGTCAACCGCGGTTTGAGTCCTGGACCTGGTGGCTTAAAACTCATGCCAGGCGTGCGTGCGCACCCAAGATCCCAAGAGGAGAAGGGAGGAGAAGGGTTTGCAGCATGGCCATCCCCCCCACCCCCCATGGGTGATTTCTCGCTTTCTGTCTCTCTGTCTCTCTCTGTCTGTCTGGCAAGCACATGCACCCTATAGCAAAAACTTCTCCGAAAGAAAAAAAAATTAATAAATAAACAAATTTAAAAATCAACAGAACCACAGATGATAAAGCTGAATCGAATCTCCTAAAAAGTAGAATTTTTAAAAGAGATGGAAAATAGGAAAAACATAAAATTTTAATCTGTCTAGGAGGTCTAGCAGCTGAATAATGGAAGTTCAGAATATAAATGAACATACAAATAGAAGAGGAAAAAAGGATTTTTTTGTAAGTTAAAGAAAATTTTCTAGAACTAACAAACATACATTCCCAGGATGAAATGGTTCACTGAAGGCCTAGTACAATGGATAAAAATGTCCACACCAA